ATAAGTATGAATTGATTGCTGTCATTATGTTACTTTTTTGGTTGTGCTGTTCGTTCTTTGGTTCTGCTTTCTTTCTTGTGTTGGCTTTATGTCCTTTGAGTTGTTTCTGGTCGGTTTCTTCCTAGTTTCTCTGTTCGCTTGTTCTGCTTGGGAATTCATTTTTATGATATGTTGTGGAGTGTTAACTTTCTTTGGGGTTACCTTCTAGTCTACTAACTTTTCTCTGCATTTAGGATACTCCATTGTAACCTGTAACTTACCTGGCATCCCCACCACCTGGGTTTCCGTTGCTGTGTTTGTCCCTTCTTTGACACTGATACGTTTTTGGCCTTCAGTTGATTTTCCCGTTCCTTTGAATTTGTTGTATTAGTCTCATTCTGTACAGGACTCCGCTATCTGTTGGCTGTGTTCCAGGTGGTATTGCCATATCTGTCAGTCTCTGTCTGTTGTCTGTTCTTGTTGGTTCTCTGTCCACAGAACTCCCTTTAGGATGTTTTGAAGTGCTGGGTTGGTTTTGATAAAATCTCTCAGATTCTGTTCATCCTGGATGGTTTTGATCGCACCATCATATTTGAGAGATTTGTCTTCCAGTTCGCTAGTTCTGGCTTCCATCTCTTCTAGTCTGCTTCTTTCCCCTTTCAGCCTATTGTCTAGTTCTGATATCTTCTTATTGATCACCTGAACATCTTTTTGCAGGTTTTGAATTGTTTCCAATGCTGTGTCAATCCTATTTGATTGTTCCTGCAGTACTTTCCTTACTTCTTCCTTATTTTCCTTGACATTTTTTTGGAGTATTTGAATTTGTTTCCGTATCATTCTTCCGAATTCCCTCTCAGGCATATCCAGAACCCACTCTTCCTCCTCTATAAAGCCTTTGTCTCTCTCCAGCTCATTTGCGTCAACTCCTCTCTTCTGTTGTTGGACGTGTTTCGATAAAGTTGATTGTTTCTTATTGGTTATGGTTATTATTTTATTGTTATTATTGTTAATATGATCGGGAGATGGGCTTCCCTTATCGTCTGTAATGCGTAGCAGGTGTTGTTGGGTCTTGTCTTAGTGGTGGAGTATTATGGTGTATGCTTATAGCTTGGCTCTATGGCCACGATTGCTGCTGCTTCTTAGATGACGTAAGGAGGAAAAGCTCCCACTTCCAGGAAAGATGTGTGAGCAAAAGGACCAAAAGCAGAATTAATATAAACGCATGGACAGAAATCACCACTTTGGAGCAGCGATGCAGCATTGGTTAACTTTTTCTGTTCCCTGTCCTGCTAGAACAGTAGCTGCTACCTGGGAGTGGGGGCAGGGCTGCTTAGATACAGGGCTTCAGATTGGGGCCAGCAGATGGCGGATGACGTCAAAAGTCACCGCCTGTCTCCCTCTCTCTGTGCTGTGAGTAAACTGATCTTGATGAAATCTTAAACCAAACAGGAGTCCCAAACTGCCCGTTTTTTTACTTAGCAGCATTATTTCTCAAAAATGCGAGTTCAGGAGACCGAAAAACTAGATCTTATGATAGTTTAAAAGCCGTGGGTCCTGGTATATGAAGTTTCCTTTGTGAGATCCCCCTCCTTTCTCACCGGAGCTTTCCCTACCTCCTCTCCTGGGTGTAGCCCGGAACCTGGACTGGAAATTAGGTTACTTCTTATAGGCATTTCTACCCCCATGTATATGAAGCATATAGTCCTTTTGTTAACGTTTTCTAAAATTAGCCAGTTTGAATGTGCCACTTTTTTCCAGCTGATTTCTAATAGGCATCAGAAAGACACTGGATGGTTTTTTTCATTTTGACTTTTTTACTTCTCTCAGATTCATCGCTTTTCCAACAATTTTTATAGTGATTTGAATGGTGTGATGACAATTCAAGCTAAGCCACTTCAGCAGAGACCTGCCTATTCAGAGAGAACACAGTATGTATAAGAAATAATTACCCAGCCACTTCCAAATCCTGGAAAATAGGAACACTAAGGACTATAGGGTTATGGACTTCCTACTACAGACTGCTACATCTTTTTTCCATGGGAGTGCTGGGTGGGTTCGAACCTCCAACATTTGCTTAGTTGCCGGGTGCTTAACTCGTGCACCATCCCGGGTTCCTAGCGATTACCTAATAGATGTATTTCTTGTTCTCACAACTCTGACGTTTGACTAACTAACTCAATATCCTTCCCACAGTAATGAACAAGAGGACAAATCAACAGGGCTAGGGGCCAGCGCACCTCCGTCAGCACGTCACAGATTTGGCAGAGTCTCAGAGGCCCGTGGACTACAGACTTCTTCCAAGAAAACACCCAAGCACAGGAGATTGCCTTCTCTTACTTCAGATTCACAAAGAATTAAAACTCCCAATGTATACAGCGATGAAATTCTTAGGGGAACAAAACTGTAAGTCTTGCTACTTTCATAGTCAACTAAAGTAATATTAGACAGAGATGCTTATTACTTAGGGTCTATGAAGAATTGTAGCATAAATATCCTCTACTCAATTCTTTGCGGTCCCTTTTTTTAATCACTTAATCTGAGTATTGAACACTCATTTTGTTTCTGTAATATACTTTGTTGTTGTTGTAAAGTGCTGTGGAGTCGGTTCCAACCCATAGTGACCCTGAAGAGGGTTTCCGAGGCTGTAAATCTTTACGGGAGCAGAAAGCCTCATCTTTCTCCCATGGAGCAGCTGGTAGTTTTGAACTGTTGACCTTGCGGTTTGCTGCCCGATTCGTAACCACTATGCTACCATTTAGCTGTATGTTAAAATATAGGGTCAGGCATTGTACCTGTATTCATTTCCTTGGGCTGTTATAACAAATTACCACAAACTGGGTGGTTTAAATCAGTAGAAATGCATTCTCTGACAGTTCTTAAGTTTGAAGTTAAGGTGTCCACAGGGCCGTGCTCCCTCAGAAGGCTCTAGGACAGATTCCTTCTTTGCCTGTGCCTAGCTTCTGGGTTGTTGGCCGTACTTGGCATTCCTTGGCTCTTAGATGCACACTCCAGTTCTCACATGGAGTTCTCCTGTGTGTCTGTGCCTCCACTGTCTCTTCTTATAAGGACAACAATCATTGGATTTAGGGCCCACTCCATAGCTTGGGTCAGGTGCACCTTAGTCCGCAAACTGACATCTTTGCTCAGTTTGGTAAAGTGGAGGGTCAGTAAAGAAGAGGATGACCCCCAACGATATGGACTGGCACCGTGGCAGCACCAGCAGGCACAAGTCTAACAATAATTATGAGATTGCAGGACTGGGCAATGTTTCATTCTGTTGTGTATAGGGTTGCTATGAGTCCATACTGACTCCACGACACCGAATAATAACAACTAGTATGACCTCATCGTTAATTACATGTGCAGATACCTTATTTACAAACAATATCACATTAACAGGTACTAAGAGTTTGAACTTGAACATATCTTTTAGGGGATACAGTTCAACTCACAATAATACCTATATGTAGCACTGGCAGTTAGGCTATTGGAACTCTAGTGGCTGGGTAATCTTGAATAGGTCATGTAAGAATTCTGAGACTCAGTTGCCTCATTTGTAAAAGTAATTACTAACAAATACTTGTGAATTAAATAGTATATTCTATTATGTTTTCACAAAATAATTATGTATTGTAAAACCTGTTGGGTTTTAATGTCTATTTTATGCAAGTTAAAAAATATGGCTACAAATCATAAACACTTTTATTAAATAAAAATACCAAAATGTCAAGCTATTATCTCTCAATATATCTTCCATCTAGGTCTATAACACTTCTCACAGCAGGTTTCCATCTTTCTACCACTTCTCTGAAGAATTACATGCTCTCTGATTTGCACCATGTCAAAACAGCAGTTTTGTCATCCTTGAGGGATTCAAATTATATTCCTTCTAAACATTCTTTGAGTTTCGAAAATAAACAGAAAGCTGAAGAGGAAAGGACAGGGCTGTAGGGTGGATGGAGTAAGGTTTCCCAATAAAATTTTCACAGAACAGCCCACAATACCTTCCAAGAATGAGCAGGTGCATTGTCATGGTGAAAAAAATTTCTTAGCACCAGTTTCCTAGCCTTTTTCTCACTGAAGCATTCTTCAGTTTTCTTAAATCTCCTTCATAAGTCTCCATGATCTGTGTCCCTTGAGAAAGTTTCCCAAGATTACCAATTTAGGTTCCCCCCTAAAACAGTTGCCATAACCTTCTGAGATGATTTCTGCCATGAATTTAACAGAACCAGCCAATGTCCTTGAAAGCCACTGTTTTGATTGGATCATTGTTTTGAAGGTGTAATGGGTACCACAAGGTCAGCAGTTCAAACCCACAGTAACTCTGAGGGAGAAAAAAATGGGGCTATCTGTTCACGTAAAGATTTACAACCTCAGAACCCCAAAAGGGCAGTTCTCCTCTGTGTGACAGTGCTGCTGGAATCCACTCAGTGGCCATGGGGAGTAACAAGTCCAAGACAAGTTTATTCCTGAGAGAACTTTTCTGCAGCACTCCTCTCATCAGAGAGACATGTTGAAACAGGTTTTGTTGGGAATAAACCAACAAATGAACTGGAACCCTAGTAGCAATGCATTTTTTGTTTACCCTCATATATCTAAGGTTTTTTCATTCTGTGTGGGAAAGTTAAAAAAAATTTTTTTTGACTTTATTGATTATTGCCCAATTAGAAAGGAATTTGCCTCTTCATTTATTATAGGATTATGAATTAAGCTTCTAGTTTTCTAATTTGTTCAAGTATCAGATAATGCTAATAGCCTTCAGTATGGATTGTATCTCAATATAAAGAAAACAAAAATCCTCACCACTACTGGACCAATAAACAACATTCTTACCATTGGAGAAAAGATTGAAGTTGTCAAAGACTTCATTTTCCTTAGCTCAACCATCAACATTCACGGAAGCATAAGCCAAGAAATTAAACAATGTTTTGCATTAGGCAAATCTGCTGCACAAGACCTTTTGAAAGTGTTGAAGAGCAAAGATGTCAACTTGAGGACTAAG